ATTTTTGGGTCAATTAGGGTTTAAGAGAAAAGAGCAAGAAAAAGAAAATAAGGAAAGTTCAGGTGGGTATTTTGGTAGTTTTAGCACATTCAGTCACCTCACTTAATGGCTAGTGGGGTACTGGGGTATTTGTTGCAAAGTTAAACTTCAGGGGGGACTTTGTCACAAATGAAACTTCAGGGGGTTAATTATCACTGGCCCTATAGTACAGGGGGTCTTTTTTGATATCTTTTGAAGGGGCTACACAACGGGGGGAGGGGGGGGTAGCCCATCCCCCAACCCAGGTGCAGGCAGGATTTGACTCCAAGTCTCCGCTATGGCCAGCAGGAGATCTTACCAACCAACTGGTTGGCACCTTGCAGGGGGTCTTTGTAATTTATCCTTTTGGTTTTGGAGGGGGTCTTAGGGATGTTGATGGTGAAGAGGTCATCCATTTAATTGATCTACTCAAACAAGTCTGCCTTCTCCTTGAGGCCCAAGACAAGAAGGTATGGTCAATTGAGTGATTGACCTTGGGCCATTTTTCTTGCAAATCTTTCTTTAATGCCCTAATTAGTCCATTTATCTCTTTTCTCATGCATGGAGTTTCAGGTGGACTCACTCCACCATTTTTTTTTATAGATGGTAAAAAGTCTTGTATTGCTGCAAAATAGAGCAAGGTGCCCTCAGAAAATTTACAAATTGCTATATATGTATGATATGTAAGTATTGTATGTACAAAAAGCAGATCATATCTCAACAAACAAATAATAGAGATCCAGTCATCCTTAAAATCACCAAGATCTACTCCAAGAAGATGGTGTAATGCTCTATCCCAGTGAATGAGTGTCCATTCAATTTTAGAAATCATCTCCTCCGCGGAACTTTTCCCCTGAAAAACCCTGCTGTTCTGCTCCCTCCAAAGACTCCATCATACAACAAAAGGCAACTGATCCCAAAGGAATTTCCCCTTAACAGAAAATCTCGACACCCTCCAGGAAGATAGTAAACCTGCAATGTTTTGAGGGACTATCAATTGTCTTTGGAAAAGCTTTAGAAAGTAGCTCCAAATTGCATGGGTGAAAGGACAATGGATGAGCAGATGGCTGGCTGACTCAGGTGTCACACCACAAAGGCTGCACAAGGAGTTAGCATCCTTTCCCTTCTTCTAGCAGACCCACAGTATGAATTCTGTCTGCAAGAATTTTTGACAACAAGGCCAAAGACGAAAACACAATCATAGAAAATTGCATGGGTAAAACTACTCATTGAGTGGCGATGGGAAAAGAGCTTGAGGGCCTTCCATGGATGATGTTGTAAGAGGTTGGGCATGAATGGTAAGGTGTGTCCATGAACAAAACCACATCAACACCATTTGGACAGCCTAGGAGATGGCTTGAACCTAAATTGTGATGGGTCTTGCAATCTGGGACATTAAGGAATAGGGAGTGCAGTTAGAGATCATCATGGAGATGTTGTCATGAGTTTCACTGGATTGGAAATTCTTTGAGAGCTGAGATTCTTGTACTTCTTCAAGGCCTAAAACTAGTTGATTCTTTAGGATGGTTGAACCTGATTCTGGAAGGGGATTGCAAGGAAATGCTCAACTGTATGGAGGAGAATGAGGGCCCATGGGTTCTCCAACAGTTGATTAGATAAGCATTATCTTTGGCATCCAAGTTGAACTGCTTGGTCAAATGGATGCCTAGATTAACTAATATCTTAGTTGATGCCCTTGAAAGAAATGGAGTAACCAGGGGCCAACCGGCCAACTTTGTTGGGGAATACCAGAGCCGCGTATTGATCTAAATCCAATGTATTGTATTTTTGAAATAATCGTTGTTAGCAACAGAGAACTGATTGTAATGTCTTTCTCTCTATCCTATCTGGAGATTGAGATGTTTTCTTCTATCTTTTTGATAAGTAATAGAGAAATTTCATTTTATTTCATTAATGAAATTTAAGGTTAACAACAAAAGAAGGAATTAGGTTTCAAATCAATAAAAGATTGTTGAAGTTGGGGGTTGTGTTGCAGGTGTTCCTCTGTATGAACTATGAAGTGAATACACAAATGGAGGTAGGGTCTCAGCTGGAGCCTGATTCTTGACATCTGGTTAGTGATAATGAACTGGGGGGTGCTGTTTGTAGAGATTGGGACAATGCTTGGTTGCTTGGATCAGATTAGGCAGATTCAAATGGAGATCAGTGCAGTCTGATATTGGAGTAGGTGTATGATCATGTGAACTGGAATTTCTTGTATTGTATTTTAAGGAGAATGAACTTTGAGCAGAAGTGGAGAAACTTGATAAAAGTGTGAATGGAAGTAAGTTCCTTTAGACATTTCCAGAGTTCAAGGGGCATCAAGCAGGGTGATCCTTTGTCATCCATGCTGTTCATTTGTCTAGCCGAAGCTCTAAGCAGAATGGTGAAAAGGGCATGCACAGGGGGTTTGTTTGAAGGTTTCAAGGTGGGTGGAGCAGTCTTAGAGGTGCCATGATTGCAGTTTGCAGATGATAGTAATGATACTTCATTTTTACTTTTATTTTTAATTTTTTTTGCGATGCTTCTCTTAAGTAGTTCTGGAACATCAAAGCTGTTTTGAGATGGTATGAAGTGGTTATGGGGTTAAAAATAAACATGAAATGTGAGGTAATGCCAGTAGGGGAAGTGGAAGATTTGGAAGAATGGGCCGATGAGTGGGGGTGAAAGGTTGGCAAATTACCTACTAAATATTAGGGTATGCCTTTGGGGGACAATTGTAAGTCAAATTCCATTTGGTAGGATGGAAGGAAGTGTGTAAAGCAAAGAATGCGGGGTGGAGTGGGGATAAGGAAGTTAAAGGAGATGAGTGTTGTTCTTGTGGGCAAGTGAATGTGGAGGTTCAGTGATTAGCCTGGGTGTTTGTGCAGAGAGGTAGTAGTTGCCAAATATGGCTTTAGTAGTAGTGAGTGGGATGTAGGGGTGGCAAGTTCATCCTATGGGTGTTCACTGTGGAATGGAATTCAGAAAGTTTACTTGCATTTCATTAGGGGAGTAAAATATGAAGTAGGGAATGGTCAGAGAGTTCTTTGATGATCTTTGGAGAAATTTTGGCTGCAAAACCTTCCTTGGTTAATAACAAGCTTGTAGCAGATTGGAAGCTCCCTGAAGAAGACTATCAAACTAAACTTTGATGATAGCAGCCTTGGTAATCTTGGGCCTTCTGGTATTGGAGGAGTCTTTAGGAATGCAGAGGGTCAGATTGTTGCCTTGTTCTCTGGTCCAATTGGAATGGGGAATGTGGTTATTGCAGAGGTTCAAGCAGTTCTACAGGGAGCACAGATTGCTAAGGAGCTGAACTTTGGGAGATTGCTGATTGAAGGTGATTCTAAACTGGTGGTTGGATGGTTGAAGGAGCTGGAGACAGTAGCTTAATCCTTTTGGGGGGGTGATGAGAAGATTCAAATGTCTAACTTCCAACATTTTAGTGAGAATTCAGTGGGAGAGGAGATCAGCTAATGAACTGGCAGACTTTCTGGCAAAGCAAGGGGTGCATAGGGATCACTTATTCTGGGCTCAATTGTAAACTTGTTTTGCCTTTGAGGCTGCAACTCGTGCCTCTATATCGATATTTTATGCTGTATCCTATAATAGTTCTGACTTAGTCTTTAATAAAATACTTTTCATTACTCATTTAAAAAAAAAAGATTTTTACCCAGATCTGTTTGATATTGCTGCAAATAAAGAATTAAAGACGCAATGGTGGCTGATTGTATGGTGGAATAGAATGTTTCTATAATTTGGAATCCCCAGTTTCGAAGGAATCTGAACTGTTTGGAAGTGACACTTAATGTGAATCTGAACTTAAGGGGTAACAGGCAAAGGGAGGAGAGGAAGGTGTGGTTACTTGAAAAGGGGGGGTGGGATTTTACTGTTAAATCTTTTTACAGCAGGTTGACAAAGGAAGAGGTCAGAAATTTTCCAAAGCTTAAGGATGTGGTACAAGAATGTCCCATGGCCCATCCAAAATGTCTTTCTTTGTGTGGACTGCAGCAATAGATAAAATTTTAACAACAGAGAACTTAATCAGAAGAGTCATAGAGGTGGATGATACTGATTGTGTCCTATGCTGCAGGTGCATGGAAACAATAGATCACTTGTTAGTGCATTGCAGTTTTGCCTACAGGGTCTGGGTAAGTATGTTGAATCTGTTTGAGGTGGAGTTGTGTTTTCCAGGTGATGTTAAGAGCCTCCTTGGTGCTTGGTTGAGCAAAGGGGATAAGGTCGCTTGGGGATCATCTTTGTACAGGGATCACCTTTTGTAATTTTATCCTTTTCATTAATGAAATACTTTAGTGTTTTCCTTAAAATGGAGATCAATGGTAATGCAAATAGATTAATGCGACCAAGAGTGGGGGGCTCCTTTTCATATAGTGGGAGTTTGATGCGGAAGCATGTTTAATCATGGATTGGTATCAGTACTGATATTCTTTCTAAGGTTGCTATATCTTGTAACCTCTACTTTTCTTACTTTCTAAATGCAATTATTATTAACTTTCCAAAAAAAAAAGAATGTCTTCGATGAGGTAGGTCATATTCCTTCATCAGGCTGGTTTTTATTGATATCTGTGACGAGTGGAATCCACACTCTTCCTCAGTTCACATTTTTTTTATTCCTGTTCCAATTTTTAATTTAGATATTCATGCATATACTGATATAATGTGTACTTATTTGAGTATTATTTCTATATTTCTTTTCATATATCATTATATTTCTTTTCTACATCAAAAGTTCACTTATGGATTGCAGGCCTTCAGTGTTCAATGCCAAATTATTGATAGATTGTTTGGTTTTTGCTTTTTCGTCATTTTTTTTTCCATTGTGTTGATTGTTTGCTTTTATTGCCTTTGTTTTTGTCATGTCACAGAAGCAAGTTTGGTTCAGATAGCATTCATTTTCAACTAGTACTTTTTGGTTTCTGAGGTGAATTGTGGTTATTATTCATGTAGCAGGTTTTCAGACAGTTGCTATTTTCATGCAGACTGGAGTCCCACAGAAACCAGTGGCCACCTCAGCTGATGCCATATCTGACATTGTAAATGATTCCCCACACAAGGTATGAAACAACATTCTGTAAGTATGCCAATGTTCATAGCATATCTAAACTGTTAAGTAGGCTCAAAACTAAATGCTTTTGTCATCTTTCTTGCTTCTACCTCCCAAAAGAAAGAACCAAAAATAAAGGAGTTTCCCATTATGATATTTTCATAGTTTCTTCTGGTTTGGAATAAAATTTTGAATGAAGCTTCATGACCATAATATTTTTGTACAAGTATTCAACAACGAGCCTCTATAACTTTATAAAATAGACTAACTGTGATAAATTGGTTAGCCTGTTATAGTCAGCATATTGCTTCTTGGAGGCGTCAACTTACTATCTATTATGAAGAGAACTGTTTAAACAGAGGAAGCTGTGTTAAATGAACTTTCTTATGTTCTTATCTTACGTTGATGCTACTATTTATTTATGCATTTTGTATGTGAGTTTTGCAGTGACACATTTAGTGCTTTTCCCTTAAAGATTTTGAAGTTAATGTTAAGTTTATGGGAAAATCTATGCTTCTTGAAAGACATGATACCAGAAGAGCTTTGATTTTTAATAAATACCACCTGATTGGTTACCATTAATATGATACCAGTTGATTGGTTGGAAGTGTTTTTGGTGTCATAGTTGGACCCTAAGTTTATTATACCTAGATAGTAGCGAGTTACTTTTCATGTTGATGGTCAATGGGGAAACCCATTCAGGACAGTGAAGATTTCTGTACAATTGGGAATTTCTCAAACACATAGATACCATTTAAATGAAGCTAAATAATTGTATTTGCAATCCTCTATGCATTAACGGCCATTATTTGGTGCAATGGTTAAATCTTAGGTTGGCATGTATGAGAATGCAGGTTCGAGTCTCGGGGTGGCCACTTTGTGCAAAAAATGCCAAAGGTTAGGACCATATCCAGTTTACCTGTCCCAAAACCCCAGATAACTAAGACCAGCATTGGATAATGACCTTTTTTACGCATTAATTGAGATCCTATGCTTGTTGGCTAAAAAAAAGTGATCCTATGCTTCCATCTTGCCAGGACACAATTCTGATCCTATACATTTTGTCTATGAATCCTATGTTTCCTATCATTGAGTTACATCAATTTGTCTTCTGGATCACCCACCAAATAATATCTTCCACCTTTGGAGGCATGTGAAAGCTCAATTCATCCAAGAGAGGTGGCTTGTGCAGAACAGTTTTGAAAGGGTTTGGAAGAAAAGCAGATATGGAGCTCAAAACCATAGCTGTGTATTGGGATTTGTAGGAGATGCAAACCCATTTCAATGAATAAGAAAACTGTTACAATTAATCAAGGAAGGATGCTGGATAAAATGAACAGGGAAAGGGGAGCTTCAACATCTATGATGTTTCTTATAGAATTTGAAATTCTGTGAGTGCTAGTGTTCCACATCCTGAGAATGGGGAAGTTGAAAAGCATGGGTAGGTGAAATTTCCAAAATTTGATACCATATACATCGCCCATATTGAGTTAGTGGAAGGAACATTGTGGAGATGGGAATAGTGGAGAAACCCTACCCTACTTATTAATCTCCCGCTCCTTTATTTGACATATCTGGGAGTTTTTCTGTGATATTTTCAGCTGTAGTTGGATCCCTCCTCATGAGGTGGCAGACATATTCAGGCCTAACTTCCCAAGGCAACCAAAGAAAGAGGAAGATCGGTGTGGAAAGTTACTAAGGCTGCAACTATTTGGGTGATTTGGGAGGAGATGAACAACAGAATCTTTAATGGCAAAAATAGATCTGTGGAGGAGGTAATAGAGATCATAAAAGTGAAGGTAGCTTTCTGGATTAAAACTTTGGACCCCCAAGGATGCCTATAGGGAAGTAGAAAGGACTGCAAAAGATTTGGGTGCTGAATTCAAATGGGTCAGGAATGCAAATGAGTTAGATGAAATTGTTCTGGGAATCTCGTAACATAGTGTTGTTTTTGGGTCTGATATCATGGTTAGCAAAACAAAGTTGTGCTGTTTTTTCACATATTATTAATATAATCAAAGCTTTACTGATAAAAAAAAAAACATTGTGAAGATGGGAATCCCTGCATTAGGGGATCTTGGAATTAGGCCTAGCAGCTACCTTTGGATTCAAACTGTTTAATAACCTGCATGTTTACTACAACTCACTAATGGTCCAAGACTATATTCAGAGGGGGTTTTAGAGCCATCTTTTAAGATTCTAAGATTGCTGATGCCTAGACTTGGCACCACCTTTTAGATTTTCCATGCTCTGAAGTTATTCTTTTTCCTCCATCTTATATTAATAGTGGCCATAAATTTGTACTTTTCTCCAAAAATCAACACTTCATCCTTTATTTGTTAGAGAGGGGAAACATTTGTCTCACCTCATAAAGATTACACATCCCCTACGTATCAAATACCTAACCTGTTGTATCACTTTTATACATTCCCATACATTTTTTTATATCATTTTAAGGGCTACTCAACGGGGGTAGCCCATCCCCCAACCCAGGTGCAGGTGGGATTCGATCCCTAGTCTCCGCTACAACCAACAGGAGACCTTACCAACCAACTGGTTACGTATTTATATATGTGCATACGTAATTTTAAACAGTAACTTCATTCATAAATTAATTTAGAAGTACATCTGTCAAACAGAAAAAAAGATGTCGACCCCTCCAGGACAACAACAATTACAACATAGCCCAAAAGAGATCTTCTCTAGTAGCCCCTTGTTTGGCTAAGGCGTCAACCAGTCCATTTGCTGTCCTTCTAACCCATCCTAAAGATACACCAATCCATTTGTCTACAGCATCCATCCTATAACCGGCTTGGAATCCCCCTCCACTTCAATCTGTTGGAGTCCCATCTCTGTAGACAATCTCAACCCTTGGAGGTGTCAGTTCATCTCTTAGAGAATCTCCCACCTGTATTGGTCTGGAATAGAGGGCGAACATTCTTCGTTCCTCATCTCTTAATACTCTCACTTATGCCTGATGGACCTGGGTTATCAAAAGAACTTCCATCAAAGTTCAGCTTAACCTTTTGTTATGTTGATGGGGCCTGGTGTTCCTGAATCTCAGACCTTGAGCTCGAGTGCTCGACAAACATGCCACTGCACTCTAGCCTYGGAGAATATTATCCACTGAAAACTCCTTAAACAGGTCAAGAGTTTTCAATGAATGTTTTACCTTTATGGATATGCTGTCAATTACTTCCTCAGACTTTTCCAGCCCTTGAAAAATTCTATTATTTCTTTCTTCCTAAACCTTCAAAAGTATTGCTACTCTTGTGGCTCTCCACATTGTCCTTTCTCTCTTCGTCAGCTGTCTAAAGAAGCTTGTATCAAAGAGGCCTGCCACATCAGGGGAAGGGTTCCACCTACAACCAGAGAGAGAAGAAAACCGTTCTGAAATACAAGAGAAATGGACAGAAAGGATGGCATCACCCATCTGCAGCTTCCTTCACTGCATTAGATTGAGTGTACACGTCTTCATGCAATCAGAGGCTTTAGCATAGGACATCTTTTGCTGACTCATTGTGCACTGGATTTTGCTGCAGTGTACCTTCTACATGAATTTTGACTACATTTAATTTCTTTATTTCTCTATCTCTTATAAAGTAGGTGGAAGTCAATATTGGTAGATATTTGTTTTCTCTGAACTGAAATGGATAGCAACCCAACTTACAAATTAGATATGATATAATCATGCCAAAAATCCAATCAAGATGAAATTTCGCATCCTTTCTTCTTTTCCCTGTTGTGGAAGCTTTATCAATGATTCTCTCAATGCTATCTTCTTGAGATTTGAAACCATATACAATTTGCAGACATTATTCATTCCTGATTTGAATAATTTACATAGGCCCAGGCCCATACAAATTTTATCAAATCCTCAACCTGAGCCTGCACAAGTTGCACCCTTACTGTTAATATGAGTTGTAATTCTTGCTTCACAATACTACCATGCTACTTCTTGTGGCTTATTCCAAGATTATCTATTTCAATTTTTTTGTTGTTTTAAATGTTGTCTGTGCCTTGTCTTTATTTTGCAGATATTCATTGGTGGAATTTCAAGGGATCTCTCATCTGATATGGTAAGTTGGTTATGAGATTTGTGTTACATTTGAGATAAAAATTGCCACCATTCTTCTTGTAGACTGATTCTCCTATGCTTTTTATATTTTTTTTACAGCTTATGGAGATCGCTGGTGCCTTTGGACATCTGAAGGCATTCTGCATTCATGTTAATGAAGATTTGAAGGAACAAATTGCTTTTCTGGAGGTATTGGATGCCAAAACTATATTTCGGGTTCTTTGTTCTTGCAGAAGATCTTTATTTTGCATTTCGGCACAATGACTTGGTTATCATTGAATTCTGATAATTGACTATTATTGATCCAAATTGATGGTGGCCCAATAATCTAATAATCTGGTGGCTGAAATCATTCATTAAGCAATTTTCATGATATTTTGGAGTTTTGTGCATTACCAATGGACTTCATAATGCCTTAAAATGCTTTGTCTTCTGTCATGCATGCTTTCACATGAGGTTGGCTCGTCGATATAGGGCCTTGAGAAGTAATTAATGTTGTAAAATTGAACCAAACAGTATTTTTGTTGCAATAGGTTCTATCAAAATGGTTCATGTTAATCCTAATGATGCAGTGGTTTCATTTTGGCTTAACTAGTATGACCCTTTATGGAAACCTCGAAGGAAAAATGTAGCAACAGTGGTTTCATTTTGAGATGGATTGTCAGGGTAAAAACAAGCTATAGCAGGGAATTGGATGGTTCCCCAAGAGATCTAGTTATGAGTCATACCAAATGTGTATTAATGTGGTTGAGACATTTACTTAAGGAGATTGGATTCCCAATCTTCATTGTGACGACCAAGCAACCATATGTTGCATCTATTCCTGTGTTTCATGAGAGAAAGAAGAAACACATTGAGATGGATTGTCACTTTGTTCTTGAGAAGGTTAAGTGTGGTTCTGAGGATCAACTTGCTGCCCTATTTACCAAAGCATTTAGTGGACCAAGGGTGGATTTCACTACTTCCAAGTTGGGTTATAAAATATATAGCTAGCTTGAGGGGGAGTGCTGAGAGTATAGGCTGGGTTTCCTTGCTATCCTTTTATCCTTCATCTTTTGGTAGTGTTTAAATAGGTTTAAGTGATATATATATATATAAAGAGGGCTGGCTGATTTTCTCTCTGGAAGTTTCTTCTCTTCCCTTTAACATGGCTGCAGTTTTCTTCCCTCTCTCTTTTCAGTTTCTCTTCTGCTTGTAATACATGTAAATAGACTAATGTGCAAATCTGGATTCCATGTCAAATAAAAAACACATAAACCAACATAATGTCTTAATGTGATTGTTCATTACTACATTTTATAAAAAAACATTGATAGTTCAATATCTATAAAATGCCACAATCCATTTAGGCAATTACATAGAAGATACATAAATCCATGAGGGCTTTAAGAAGATCAAAAGTCACAATTCATGGTTCCATGATAACCATAGATTAAGTATATCACAACAGAGGAAGAACAAGATCAGAACCCTTATTTTTGGAATAAGGGTAGCTAAGTAGCTTCTCTCCAAAGATGCATTTCTATGGATCAGAGCCCACACATCACATCCACTTACACAACCTTCCAAATTTTCTAATAAAATAGACTAGTGAACCCATCGGGGCTTGGGGGTTTTATCCCCATCCGGAGACTTCACCACTTCCCACATGGCCACACCTCCACACTTAGGTTGTTTAAGTTCCATTTTCTTTTCTTTTCTTTTCTTTTCTTTTTTCCGGGGTGGGGGTGGGGGGGTCAAGCTCCAATTTCTGAATTCTGATCTTCTGTTAGTTGCTTGAATTGGACACCCATCGAGAGAGGCCTGCATATTATGAAACGTTAGCTTAACCTCCCATCTTTCCATTGGAATATGTTATAAACCTGTCCTGCTTTACTATATTGGGCATCTGCTAAGGGGAGGTCAACTAGCTTGAAAGCCTGAACAAATTCCCTAAATTGCCTCATAGATTTTGTAATCTACTCATCTCCAGACTTCTCATTAGTGAACCTGGTGGTATTGAAGTCACCACCAATCATCCAAGAAATTTGCAAACTGCCCCTGGCTGCCAAGAGGTCCTCCCACAGTCTTCCTCTATTTGTCGCAGGGGGCCCATACACATTAGTGGTTGGGCACCTAACTCCTGAGATTACGATTTCCACAGGGAGAAATTCTCCAACTCTGTGAATGAAAAAATTACCTTTAACAGGGTTCCACAAAATTAGCAAACCATCCGCGCTCCCTATGGGGTATATCTGAATTCAATTTGATAAGAAACATGCAATTCGAATCTGACAAATATCCACAGAATCTTATCTGAATTCAATTTGTTTATATTGTTGGATATCCAATTCTAATTCGATTTGATTTCAGACTGTAACATGAAGAAGAAGTGGGATCTCAAACAGAAATGAGAAAAAATCTTGGGCCATTGGGTAGCATGCAGGAACAGGGATTTCCAATCCTCTATTGTTGTGTTAAACCTAAGTTGATGACCAAACACCATCACCATGAACAGGACAACCTGAATCCAAAATGACAAAACCATAAAGAAAGAAATAAAAGAAAACAACAATGCCTGAGATTCTGAGAGCTAGAGCCAATTTGAAGAGTTTGCAGCCTTAGATTAAAGGCTAGAAGAGACAATAACAAAAGGGATCTCAAGTTGCACTACTAATGATGATGCAACAGATTATACTGGTCAGTGGTAGCGTAGAAGGTGATTTGCCAGTAATGAACTATGGAAGCAACATGGCAGCAAGGGAGATCACTTTGTAGAGGAGAGAAACACTAAAATAGGCAAGTTTGGGTGATTTAACAACTAGACACAATGAGTTGTGCTTAGCAACTGACTGATCGAGGGTTCAAGTAATAAGTTTACTGGTTTAGGCCTTTAAGTTGCAACTGGTTTAGAGTTTATGGGATAAAGAAGATTGATGGAAATGGAAGAGAGAGGGACTAATACATTGAGGAGACAAAATATCTATTTCAAGAAAAAGAGAGTTGTATTTTATTTATCGATTAGACAAGATAGACAATTTTAGGTCCACTCTTCATAGAAAATTACACTGTTTTTTTATGTACTAATATCAATATTTGGGACATAAATGTCCATACACATTTAAACAAAATAAATGTCAATGTATAATATTTAATAGTACAACAGTATATATCTTTAATTGTATATTATATTTAATATGATATATAATCAAATCGAATCATGCTATAAATTCGGTCCAATTATTAAATGGATCAAGTTTTCCGATCCGATCGGATTCATTTAGTTACACATGGATATCCAATTTTGAGTTAATTGAGTTTAGTTCAAATTTGAATTGGATCTTAAATCAAGCTATTCATTCATCATTCAAGTTTTTCTTGTGAAAAGCTTGACTCATCATTCCTCCTTCCTCTTCTTCCTCTTCCCCTTCCTCCTCCTTCCTCCTTCCTCCTCATCCCCCTCCTCTTAAGGAGGCTTACGCCTCCTTGTGTTCGGGAGGCTTAACGCCTCTTACGTTCTGAACTACGCCTCACGCCTCTAGGTGTGGAACACCTCGCGTCACACGTCCGCGTTTTAAAACATTGGATCACACCATCAAGTTTGAGTAGGTTTTACGATCCATACTAGATCTGACCAACTGCAATTGGTGTTACATCCATGAGCTCCTCTTCCACATCAATAGAAGAAGCATTACCTCCCTTTCTTTCAGCCACTGTTTGGCGTGGCAAACCCAGTCGAAGCCTCTTCACCTTGTGGTGGAATCTCCATTGCCATGATTGAATTCAACCCTTTAGCCCTATTACTAGAGTAATTTGCCTCCGGAACCATCAGTAAGATAAAAGACTGCCAAAAAGACTATTTTTGCTACTAAGTAAAATACTTAAACAGTTATGCATGCATGTTTGCATAATCCCATTTTGATAAACCAAGTACATTCCTACAGCATATTTTACCTTGGTGCCTACGGGATTGGGGGAGTTTTTAGAGACAGCATTGGGGCTGTCATAGCATTATATTCAGGACCTATTGGGTTTGGAGATTCCACAAGAGCAGAGCATGGTTTAAAATGTCCCTAAATTCCTTAATTTTTCCACGACATGTTTCCATTTCCATGGGTTTGAATCTTAAGGTTTATAGGACAACTTTGGAATGTATTCTTTTATCTATAACCTTAGTTTCTTAGCTTTGTTTAATGATTTGGAGCAAGATAATAATGTAAAAAGGTGTGCCTATGCTTCTTTTATCATATCATAAGACATCACTATATTTTTGCATATTTTACAATTTTCCACCATGTCTATAATTTTTACACTATTTCCATATGACATTTCTGACGTTTCTGACATGTTTCTTATAATTGGACGATTGATGTTTCTAATAGTTTTATGTGGAATTTGGATGTCTAAGAGACTGAATATGAGAAACCTAGTGTGGAAGGTGATTCTAAGACAATAGTGGGTTGGCTAATATATGATGGTCAAGGAACTTGAGAAACACACTTCGGGAGAAATCAAGCATGTAGCAAGGGAGATGGTTATCTCAATCAGATGGATACCTATATCAGCAAATTGCATTACTGATTCACTTGCAAAACAGGGTGCAAGTACAAATGTATTGGGTGATGACAAGTGAAAATCATTTGTAAAAGGTGTAAGCAGAAATTGGGGGGGGGGGTAGGCTAGAACTAGCCATAAAGAGAAAGTAATATGTATACAAGTCATTGTAAATAGTGCATATGCTACCATTAATAAAATAATAGTTACCAATCAAAAGAAAAAACCAGCAAATCCCTAATCAAAACACAAAAATGATACCCATCTAATATATATGCTAACAATAAAATGGGTGACAGTAAATGGTATCCCACATACGAAAGGCATGAAATGTGTGAAGGGCTTAGTCCTGTTTTAGAATTGCTATTAAACATGAAAATATTTACAATAATGCCACTACAGAAGACAGTATTAATGACAATTAAAAAGTTATGTTTTATATTTGTTTTTAAACATTCAACTATTTACAATTATGCCATTATATAAAACAAAAATTGATGATGACAATTAAAGCCATCACTCTTAGGCCTATCCACGACCCAATTTGTTTAGTTTTTTTTTTTTATTTTAAGTAAATATTTTTCCCTAAAAAAGATTTTAATTAAAAAAATTAGGGATTCTGCTACCTTATTCTATTTCATTCCTGTAAGCAAATCTTTATGGTTCCGTGGGCCACCTGCTAGTATTTATAATTATAAAAGTTATGTGTAGTGTTACTTTTGAATTTTACATATGTACTTTTTGACTAATAACTAGGAGTTTTCTCCTTCCACAAAGAATAGGATGTGGCAAATCAATCCCCGGTATTAGCACAGATGTATATTGAAGGTCTGATGGTATTGGAAATTAAATTACTGCAGTAATATAAATTTCATTGGTTTACCCAGTATCTTTGATCTTTGTTGTATTGTTTTCTCTCATAGACACTCATATATCTATAATTATCTATGGAATAAAAGTTACAGGATAGTTTTGTTCATCACAATGGGTTTTATTTTGATGAGTTTTACTAAACCATAATAGAGAAAGTGGAGAAAAATATGATTTGGTGACTCATATTTTCCTGTTTCAGTATGTAGACAAGTCAATCACCCTTAAGGCATGTGCTGGACTGAATGGAATGAAGTTGGGTGGACAGATCCTTACTGTAGTTCAGGCTGTGCCTGATGCATCTTCGGAGGTAACCAATGCCTTGTGTTCTTGTCCTTTTTTTTCAGATAAACTAGAGAGACTATGTTTCTGGAATATGTCCATGGAGTAGATAAATGTTCTTTTTGTTTTAGTGTTTCTGTTTTATTACTGTTGTCATCATTTATGGTTACCTAGTACAACTTATAGCAGGAAAATACTGAGAATCCACCATCCTATGAGATTCCTGATCATGCAAAGCCACTGCTTGACAAACCCACACAAGTCCTGAAGCTCAAAAATGTGGTATGCTACTACGCTATTTATGGTTGATGTTATTTTTATCTTTTATTTCTTCCTGGTTTATCTGAAAAAAAAAATGTATGGAACAATTGGATTTAGTTCAATCAAGAAGAGCTTGCATCTCTTTCTGGACCTGAACTCGAAGAAACTTTGGAAGATATACGGTTGGAGTGTGCCAGGTCCATGATGAAATCCTATCTTTATGTGTATTTGTTTATCATTCTTTAAATGAGTTTTGGTGATTTTATTGAAACCCACTTGCAATTGTGCAGGTTTGGGACTGTCAAGTCTGTTAATATTGTCAAGGATAGAAGCAATTATGCCTTTGCTCTTGGAACATCTGAGGTTACTAGTCAGAATGATTCAAGGGACCTGCTATACCCAGAAGATGATGACCACATCAAGGAGATACCAAGGATGGGAGATTCCCTTCACCTAAGCTCTGAAGACAATAGCAAACCAGAGCACCCAAATGATGCCAAAGAATTTTCAGGTGGTGGTGGAACTGCAGAAGAGAACAGCACTAGTGTTGATATGCCAGTGCAGGATCTTGCAAAGGATGGATCAAGTGAACCAGGCCATCCTGATAAGAGAGCAGGCCTTGTAGAATTAATCTGTCATCTCAATGCAGATGGGGCTCTCCAAGAACCAGCTGTACAGCTGGATGCAACTGAAGGTCAATTGGTCCATAATAAAGAGGACATTGATGTTCTTTGGGCCAAGGAGTCTGGCATGGGAACCAATTTGATGGTTGAAGAGTTCAGAGCAGAGGAAACTAATGACAAGAAGGATGTTTCCATTGAATTGGATGCTACTGCTACTCAAATTGAATCAGGTGTCACAGACAAAGGTGATAAAAAGCAGGAGGCTAGTGATCTTAGCTACATTTTTGAACCTGGATGCATTCTTGTGGAGTATGCAAGAACAGAAGCTTCTTGCATGGCAGCACATTGTCTCCATAGGCGGCCTTTTGGGAATCGGAATGTAGAGGTAGGTTATGTAGCTCATGATCTCTATCTGGCAATGTTTCCAAAATGAGCACATCCACAATAGGTGCTACTTCGTGACATCACTGACATGAGGTTTGATTGGTCCACCTTGTTCCCGGAGAGTTCCCTCTTTTTGTTGGGTGTCTTGTTACGTGTTCTTAACAAAAAGTGAAAGCTTGTCAGTTGGCCTGACTTCTCTTTGGGAGTGTGGTCTGATCTCAGATAACCGGTTGCTGACTGGGTTCTAGAGCTGATCTTGTGGAAAATATTAGCTGAGAGCTCGAGGTCCTTTTAGCTGTTGTGATATAATCAATATTCACGACGTTGAATGCATCGCCACTTTCTTTGTATCCTTATAATGGTAATACAAGGAGGGTTTAACTTTATTAGTTGTTTTATTGCATTGCCCCTTACTCCAGTCTAATGTATTCTTTTCAACAGAGGGATTAACTTTGTATCAAACCAGATCAACTCTCCCGAGAAGCTTGAAGCCTAGAACCCAATTTACCTGTTGTTTCTCTTTGTTTATTTGATAACTTGATATATCCTATATACAGAAATCTTATAAGTAATATTTGTTACGTCTCATGGACTCTTAATCCTTCAACTGCTTAACTTGTTTCTATACTCATCTATGTTATGATTGTACTTTATTGGCAATGTGGATGTAGATAATTTCTCGGGTTCCCATGATCGATCACAACGTACGAGTTCACCGGGAGCAGCGTATGAACTCACAGGCAGCATTTTCACTGTTTTGTTTTCCCATTATTTCATCGGCATTGTAGCCAACGTTTTCACACTACCTCCCCTGTGAATTAAGCGGACAAGTTGATTCAGAAAACGAATCAATAAAAGCACTGAAATCAAAAGCGAAGAACCCCTTGTGAGTTGTGACGTTTGGTGATTGCCACTTTTATCTGCAATGATTTAGTTTGGTCAATGCAAATTTTATGAGAATATATTTTATTTTACCTGTCTATTATATATGATTTGAGTTATCAATGCAACATTTGATATCATTGATATTTCCAAAACAAACCTTAAATTTGGTGTTTCTACTATAAATGTCAACAACCAATCAAATGTTTATAATTTACAATTTCTGAAAAATTTGCATTAACTTAAACAGTTATTAGTAGAAGTAGCAATGGTACCAAACACAATCATGATTTATAAGGCGAGAAAATGATCGAGCAATGTTATTATTTATTAAGATGCCTTGGTACTTCAATATGTACCATCTCACGACTATTCCTTGATTGGTCATCCGGCTCATTGGTGATTTTTTTTTTCACTGAGGACCACGGTAGATGTTAATTAACCCTAAGTTAATTGTCAAAATTCCTGAGTTGTCAAAAATTCTAGTCATTATCTATGATGACATCTTGTTGTAGCTGCAGCAGAACTGTATATGAGAAGGAAGCTAGTATATATATATATATATATTTTTTTTTTTCTGGCGAGAAGAAAGCTAATTGGGTAATATTAATTGAGAGTTTGTTAGACAATTTGTTAGAACCAGCCAGTTTGTTAGGTTGTTAGTCTGAGTTCTGAAAATACACCCATGAAGAAAGCTAGTTGGGTAATAATAATTGAGAGTTTGTTAGGCAATTTGTTAGAACCAGCCAGTTTGTTAGGTTGTTAGTCCGAGTTCTGAAAAAACACCCATGAAGAAAGCTAGTATTTTTTTTTTTCTGGCGAGAAGAAAGCTAATTGGGTAATATTAATTGAGAGTTTGTTAGGCAATTTGTTAGAACCAGCCAGTTTGTTAGGTTGTTAGTCCGAGTTCTGAAAATACACCCATGAAAGGGGTAATCATAGCACTATAATCGAGCATGGAAAAGTAATAACAGATTTCTTTTTTCCTCTTTCTCTAATTTCTGTTCTTGAGATTTCCTCTCTCTCTCTCTCATTCTACCTTTCCTTCATTTTAGGTTTTCTCATCGGGCTTCTGTCTCGTGGATGCACACCCATAGCTCTGCTTGTGTTACGATCTGTTTGTCCCATATTGGTAGTATGGGATGCTAATGTGAGGTATCCCACTTTAGTAGTATGGGATGCTGTTGTGGGGTATATATGTGTTTAGGTTCCCTCCCTCTAATAGCTAGCGTTTAGGGGTGAGTTCTCCTAAGGCACATAACAAATGGTATCATGGCCTACACTATGCTTCCCAGTTACAATCATGCGGCACAGGTGGTGACATCGGTCTTTGTTATCACCCGATTTTTGCTCGGTCCCTTTTTTGGCCCATCTCCTACATTCTGGAAGTTCAATCAGACCACACCAATCACTTTAAAACATACCAAAACCCTAAGAAACCAAAGTTTAGCACAAGCGCCCATAACCCTTTCGATGGTCTTGATTATGCCACATCACCATACTTGATCCCTGATCAAACTCCATCACATGAAACAAAATCCTCGAACAACCAAACACGCAAAAATTCAACCTTAAACCCCTGGATTTAGCCAATCATCCATCAGACATCCCATTTCGATGTATATAACACCGTGACACTAAAACCCATGATCTGCACACGCCTAACACGATTGAACTCTTCCAACAGCCTCATAAACCCAATCCATACCTACCTACCAAATTTTATCCCAAAATTCTCTTGTTTGACCCAACATCAAACCTTGATTTTGTTTTGACGAATCTTATTGATCAAAAGTTCACCTGTCACGAATCTCCATCATCCAAGCGTTATTTGACCAATCAGACCCCGCCACCATGTTAAATGACCCCAAAAACCCCAGCACATCAAATTTTATGACCAAACACCTCTATTTGACCATTGAAAAAGCAAGATTCCATTTCGGGCCCATTCGTTAATTGAAAGACCATAAGCTAAGACCATGATCTGAACTATATCAGTCAATCCACAGCTCTGATCAAAGATCCATCACTTCCATCAGATTCGACATGATTGAAAATGCCTACCCACCAAATTTCAATCCAAAATCCCCTCGCTTGACCCTTCATCAAATAAAGATTCTATTTTAGTAAATCTTATTGATCCAAACTTATCAGACACAGATCTCAATCTTCCCAACTCCATTTGTCCGATCAGACCTCACCATTGTGCTCAGAGGCCGAAAAAACCCCAACACACCAAATTTCATTAACAGATTCATTCGTTTGACCGTTAAACTAAAGATATACCTTTTTTATGTACCCGATTGAACCACCACATCAGCTGTCCAACCTAGGATCTTAAGTGGGTGGGGACTGACGTCAGATCCTTACTTAACCCCTTTAAAACACCTAGACTTCTGATTTTGAGCCTAATAGGCTTAAAAAACCTAAAATACCAAACAGACCCCTACTTAAAACTAAGAAAGACAAAACGACTTTTAAAATCTCATCAAATTTATATTTTTTGCCACTGTCAGCCCCAAATACGGGGATGCAACGTCTAGCACACCCCAATCCCTCATTCGACGCACGAAACCCATGAGAAACCACCCAAAATCGAGAAGATTTGTTGCACAAAGAAGGAAGGGTCAACTGCAAGCCCCATTCTCTCAAAATCTTTGCCTATTTCGGTGAAAAAGCTCTGTTGAGCTACAAACACTGTAATTGGACGAGTTTCAGACCCATTTCCCTCACTTTTCTCTATAAATAGAGGCTTAGCTCGAACTTGAGGGAGGAGGGGAGGGGAGAGCTTTCCAACTCTTGTAACACACCTAACTTGCTTGAAATCCCGGAATCCTTGAAGCCAAGCTCAAGCCTCATCCTCTGTTTTTCAGTCTCAACACCAGAAACGCCCAACCTAACTCCTGCCTTGTTCAAGTTTCATTGAAGTCCTTTTGGCTACTGGAAAGCTTGTTTCAAGGTCGTACACGAGAAGTAAGCCTCTCATTCCATCATCTCTTTGCTTTTAGTTTAGTTTCAAGTTGCTTAAAGCTCTGAAATCTTAGGAAATTTGCATTCCCATCTTCCTCTAGATTGAGAAAAAGAGTTAGAGAGGCGAGGGTCTTAGGGAAATTAGTACCTAAGACCCAATAACATCACCTCAAATCATTTTGGTCAGATTTCATGAGCTTTGAACAATCTTGTTAGTGCGTGTTTCTATCGGAATTTAAGCCTAAATTACTCCGTAGTGGGCTGCTATAGCAGCTTGGAGAGAGGGGTGTCTAACACCTTCCCTCTCCCAATCCTTTGAACCCAAAGCCTTTCGGTTCAGTGCTTTTCCTTGGTGGAGAATATCAAGCCTAGTAAACCATTTTTTTAACTCGAAAGTAAGGGCCCATTTCCTCTAGAAAAATGGGTGGCGACTCAAACTCTTTTGAGCCGGCCATGACCTTTCCGGAGCTCATAGTATTGCAGTGTTCAGCTGGGACTAGGTGGACTAGTGCAAAGCCATCCTGTGTGAGCGTCGGGATTGCGGAGCGTGTTGGATTGTTACGATCCATTTGTCCCATGTTGGTAGTATGGGATGCTAATGTGAGGTATCCCACATCGGTAGTATGAGATTTTGTTGTGGGGTATATATGTGCTTAGGTTCCCTTCCTCTAAYTAGCTTTAGGGGTGAGCTCTCCTGAGGCACATAATAGCTTGTTAGTATTAAGGATGTAACATATGGTATTAGAGCCGTATATTCCTAAGAGAACATGGCAGATGGCACCCCCACCTAGTCCAAAATTGCGGAACAAACTTTGTATAGCCAATGGAACATGATCAACCTAGTGCAGTTCAAGGGAGTTCAAATAGAGATAAGGATCTTGGAAAAAGGTTCAAAGACTTGTTTCTTGTCAATCACATGATGATAGAGATTTCCAAATCTAAGGGCCCGATGACAGAACTTGGGGTTGTACAAAAGTCAGGAAATGGGTTCTCAAGACTTTAACAAATAGAGTTCTTCTCTCAAGATGCCCAAGGTCAATTTGTCATTCTTTGATAGTGATTACCAAAGGGGATGGTTAAGAAAGTGTAGTTCTTTTAGATGTATCAATTCATGTTCCACTTGGAAGGGAATGCTGATCTATCTTTTCAAGATTATTTGGAAGGTAAGGGCTCTGTTTCTTGGGAATAATTTACTCAAAAGTTGTTTGTTAAAGATTTGGAGAAGTCGGATATGAAAATATTGTAGGGGATTTCAATAAACTGCAACAAGTAGCCTTTATGATGGTATATCAAGAACAGTTTGAGGAATTCAAATCCTACATGGGTCAGAGAAATCATGGTCTTATTGAGGACTATATAATCTCTAGTTTCCTAAGTGGCCTAAAAGATGAAATTCATACAATGGTGCAAATGTTTAATCCTTTTACCCTCTATCAAGCAATAGACCACCCTTGAGGCCTATCAATCCTATCATGAACACCTAGAACTTTAATCGTTCTCAACCTTTTAAACCGCTTACACAGCCTCAGACCTACTTTCCACAACCCTCCAACAATCCAGAAACCCTTTCTTGACAAGAAAACAAATGAGGTGTAGATTCTTTAAGACCATGATCTTGGCCAAAAGGAGAGTCAAAAGGGATAAGGGTCTTCACTACTTTTTTAATGAGAAGTTCACAGTAGACCATAAGTGTAAAGTAAAGCAAGTGTGTATTTTGATGGAAAATGAGGAGGAAGAAAGTACATAAGATGAGCTTTCAGCCATTGACGCACAACATTAGGTAAAACCAAAGGAGGAAATGAAGATATCAGTGCATGCTCTTGCAAGGCACACATCGCACAACACTATTAAGATCATTGGAAGGGTAGAGATGAGGCCTCTGACCATTCTAATTGGCATTGGCTCATCATATAGCTTTTTGTATCTTATTATAGTTTCATAGACAGGTTGTGCTACAAAAGAGGCCAGTCCATTATATGTTATAGTGGCAACAGAATGGTGAGTAATATTAAGTGTCCACAATTAAAATGTGGACCATGAATGGACAGGAGCTCACAACTGATTTGAGAACATTATCATTAGGATGATGTGACATGGTCTTAGGAGTT